GCAATATCCTGCTTGTACCTATAGCCCTATAACTTGCAAAAAAAAAACATGTAAACACTGGGTATTTTTAAACTCCGGGACAAATTTTGAACCTATTTAGCAGTTTTTTCATTCGCTTTTGTAGATGAGTAAAAGATTTTTCAAGTAAAAGTAAAAAAACTTGTTTTTTTTCAATTTTCATCATAATTTGTATTTTTTTTTAAATTAAATTACATGATATTATATAAATAATGGTATGTAAAGAAAGCCCTTTGTGTCCTGAAAAAAACAATATATAATTTGTATGGGAACAGTAAATGCGGAAAATTACGGCTAAATACAAACACCACAAAAGTGCAAAAAGAGGCCTGGTCGCAAATGTACAACATCGCAAAAACAGGCCGGTCCTTAAGGGGATAATCAAGCAAACGACTAGCAAGATGGACGTGCTTTTTTTATTTATTTTTTTTATATGGTTTGGGGTTCAGAGTTCTGCCAGTGGCACCAAAACATGATAATACCGATGGAAATATGATAAAAATAGCAACTAAATGTTGGTTTTATTCAAAGATCAAGTGAGACGTGACCAACAGAGATAAAGAAAGGCGGTCCAGCAGCAAAAAAAATCATTAAAAAAATAATCTATATTTCTATATTATTATATATTTATCTGTGCCTCCTTTTAGCCTCTATTAGCTTCTCACTTCTGTGAACCAAATGGCAGGAAAATACAACAGTGTACTGCAAAATATGCGCTTAATATTTATACTGTGTATATATTTTGCAGTACACTGATTGACCCATTTTTGAGCCCAATTTTGTTCATTCAAATTAGTTTCCCAAATGTATTTCATGGATGACATTCAGATGAGCCGAACCGTCAAATGAATGAGCTTTGGAAGTCCCAACCTAAATTTCTTTTTTTTAATTTTTTTTAAAGGATCGGCTAAACCTAATTTGCCATGCATGAACATATCATAATACGGTGTATTTATGAGTGTAAGGATGCATGTATAAATCAATGTGTGTGTATGTAGGAGGGGGCATGTCTATGTGGATGTATGTGTACATATGAAAGAGTATATAAGTAAAAGTGTTGGACATCGATGTACGTACGTATTAAAGTATGAGCAATATAGGGGACACGTATATATTGTAATACACTTGTATTTTAGCTTGTCCTTTGAACGTGAAATTAATCTTAACATTCAACTGTATTGTTTTCATGTTTAAGTGATCTTAATTCTCAAGACATATTCCCCTTGACACAGTAAAGTCCCACGGCTCATTGTCATGGCAGTCACTATTAATGTAATAATAAACTGTGTAAGGTACAAAGAAGCCACATCTTTTATTTACTATAATACTCACATCTATCAGAGCAGTATAGCTATAAATGACCAATTAAGCCGAGATCTGCTATAGTAAACGCTCAGAGGCAGAAATATTAACCTTGAGTCGAAAAAAATACTTTCTTTGCATCATAAAGTAATCCATAGTGTTCTTTTAATTCCAGATGAATAATTCATATGCAGATGTGTAAAAATTAAAAATGGAAAATTTTTTTTTAACAATTGGGTGCAATATTCTCTCTCTATCTCTCATTTTTTTTTTCACACACAGCGCATCTGGTATCATCCCAGACAAACAAAGAACACTTGTCTTGCCTGATGCTCCAATGGGTGATTTCTTGATGTTAGAATGCTGAATTTACCTGTACATTTTAACAATTTGTTGCCACTACGCATGTAACCCTTGTTGATTTCATGCAGTTATGTGATATATGTAACTGCACGTAATTCATTAATATTTTTGTCACGTGATACGCTGTAGTCATATTGGGACTTGTTCATTATGTGCTTTTTAAAACCTTAAATAAAGATTGTCAAAAAAAAGAATATATTGCCACTTAAATACATTTTAATATTCGTTCCTTTTCATTTTGGAATTTAAAAAAAAATGTAATTACAATTTGACATTTTTATCTAATATAATTTACTTTCAATACACATTTGTTTGTTTTAATCTTTTATAAAACAGAATAGTGGTGTGATTGCTAGTTAATTCCATTTATTGTCTAAAACAGCGGTTTCCTAACTGTGTGCAACTGGGGCACCACAACGGGCAAACAGGGAAACCGCCCTCCCCTGCCGGCTCTGCAGGACTGGAGGGGAGATCAGAGATCTCCCTCTCTGACCCCCTAGCACTTTGCTGACTGCCGGCAGGGAGGGAGGGAGAAAGGATCCAGGGGAGCACTAACCTGCAGCTCTGCCGGGTTCTCCTCTCGCGAGCTCGGAGTGTTGCTGCGGTTACCACAGCAACGATCCGAATCTCGCTAGAGTGAGCTCTAGCAGCTCATGAGGCTGCTAGAGTTCACTGTCATCACTGGGACCACCAGTGCTTCCCCACCAGGACCGACAGGGATTGCAGGAAATGTCCCCCCTCCAGGCAAAGGTAAGCATGGAGGGGGAACATCATTTTTATTTTTAATTAATTTTTTTTTTAATATATTTATTAATTTGCCCTCCTTCCCCCACAGACCCCACACAATAGCTCCTCCATACACACACACTACCCCCCATCCACACACACACACTACCCCAATACACACACTCTTCCCCATAAACACTGCCCACCATACACACACAGTACCCTTCACACACACTGTACCCCTCACACACACTGTACCCCTCACACACACTGTATCCCTCACACAACCTGCCCCCACATACACTGTACCCCTCATGCACAAACTGCCCCACATACACAAACACTGCACCCTTCACACACACACACACACACACACACACACACACAAACTACATCCTGCACCCCTGTATACAAACTGCACCCCCGTACACACACACACACTGCACCCCTGTCATGCGGTAACACTTCCGGGTTTGGCACTCCGCTGTGCAGAGCCAGACCCCACCCCCCTCTGACGCAGCTCTGACGGTATTTAGGGAGACCGCGCCAGAGAGAGGGTGCTTGGTGATACTGGGAGCTACTTCCGCCAGACTTACCTCTCCAGAGGCTCTGGCAATGTGGGTCCTACTTCCGAGTATGCACGCCGGCTCCTGGGACACGCCGGCTCTACAAGCTCTGAAGTCGTCCTAGCCTTCTCGGCTAAGACAAGTCTGCTTCATGCCATAGAGGATTACTGGAGAACAGAAACTCACTTACTTTACAAGTGGACATATCTCTGAACTATTGGAGGACAACTCAGATTAACCTTAAGTATATCTTTTAGCTATTTGTCTACAATATCATTTATTAATGAACTAATGCTTGCTTACTTAAAACTTCACTGCTTCAAGCTACTAATTATATGGAGGGCAACTCCCATCATGCTTATTCACAATGAACTGTTTCTTGCTTTGCAAATATTCTCAGCTACTTGCTTAAAGTTACTATTGAAGATTATTCTCATTAACCTAAAGAATGTTACTTAATGCTTCTCTGAGGAAATACTTATTAATGAACTTTGTGTTGTTGATTACTTGCACTTCTTCTTATTGGATTATTGCCTAAATGCAATTCATTTAAGTTTAACACTTATTAAAACTTCGTTTGAATCAAGTTACCAGCAATTCTCTCTTTTCTTAAAGCTACAGTATTGATACTTTAAAGATTCTCTGTTTCTTCACTATTGTAATTAGGGAGTTTTACAAGTTGCAGTTGAGTTCCAATCCAAATCACCCAAGTAGCGTAACAACCCCTCACACACACACACACACATATCGCACCCCACACACACACATATCGCACCCCACGCACACACTACAGCCCCTATCCCGGCAGATCCCAGGTAAGCTGTCAAACTGTTCTCAAACAGTTTGACTACTTACCCTGGGAGGACACTACTGGCACCATAACCACTACAATGTAATGTACCCATACGGCCAACTCACGCTTGTAGGACTTCTTGCGGGCGACTCCCTTCCTATGGAATAGCCTGCTTACCGCCATCAGACTCTCCCCTAGTCTTCAATCGTTTAAAAAGTGCCTTAAAAACCATCTCTTTAGGAAAGCTTATGGCCTCCCAGAGTAACCTCTACCTCACATACCTGTCTCTTGCTCTCTCCTAAAGGGCAGCACTTTACTCACTCATCCAGCTCTGCTTCACTCCCACCTTATTTGATTGCTGTAACGGCTACCCAGGTAGTAAGAGGGTATCAGCTGTTGGAGACGTCCTTTTCTTCCCAGCAAGTTGCTGTATAGTAATGGAGTCGCTTATTCCCACCCACTGGATCCAAGGCAGGAGTCAGGTAGAGCTCTTAAAAGAGCTCAGTGATTATGCTGCAGAATTCCCTTTCAAGAACGAGACAAGGCTACGTTTTGAAGGGTCAAGAAGAACTGACTTTTAATGGCAGGCACTCTCTTTTTAATTAACAAAACAACCAATAAAACATAAGGTACATCCCACACATCTCCTCCCCTCAGATAAGCTAGTAACACAATTAACAAGGACATATTTTTCCCCAAAGTTTGGATGTGCCCCAAATACTCCGGTGTACCCAGATAGCCCTATTCTGGGGGACCAACATAGTAAAAATTCAGCTCATTCGGTTCAGCGGTTCAGGAGATATGGAGCTTGAAAGTTTTGACCGAACGCACAGGCAAAGTGGCCAAAAACAGTTCCATGAGTTTTGGCCTTGCGGTCGTTCTTGGTTCGGGCGTAAAAAGTCCCGAACGGCTTGCCATCCATGCGTAACCCGACGTTCACCAGAATCCCCATAGGCTATTAAGTCTTTCTACCGAACGGCCTGTTGTTCGGTAGTTCTAGCACAATTTCCCGGTGCTATGGAGGTCTCAGCGGTGTTCGCCTACTCGAGTGTCCGATTTTAGTTCCAGACACTCGATGGCAAAACACCGCTGTTCAGAAGTTAAGATGGCCGCGAAAACGCGTAAGTCCCGAAATGTCGGCCACCCAGGCGCTTCGCAAAGCGTTTGTGGGTTTTCTATGCGAAGGCACTTGATGGATCAGAGAGGTAAATTACCTATAATTAGTAAGCAGGGTGGCCCGGTGTTCGGTAGTTAGCATTCGTATAGGGAATGCTTCAAATGTCCAGAACTGATGCATAGTAAAATCCCCATAAAAGCAGGTTAGGCTCTTCCATTTGTTACAATTGCTTTTTCCTGTCCTTATGTGTATTATACCCCACCTCCTATAGACTGTAAGCTCGTTTGAGCAGGGTCCTCTTCGACCTATCGTTCATGTAAGTTTTCTTGTAATTGTCCTATTTATAGTTAAATCCCCCCCTTATAATATTGTAAAGCTCTACGGAATCTGTTGGCGCTATATAAATGGCGATAATAATAATAGTGGCTATTGTGCCTGGATTGTTTCTTTAAATAATCTTCCAGTGCCACTGCCAAGATTAGGGGCCCAGTATATGACATGTATACAACCTAGAAAATTGTTTTAAATTAGGGTGCCTTGGAAAAATATTGAAATATTAAGGGTGCCTTGAACCTTAAAAGTTTGGAAACCACTGGTCTAAAAGACAGAAACTACTAAACTAAAAACAATAGCTATACATGGCCACTGGATGGAGTAAAGCTGCAACATTCAACACTAAGAATAGGAAACCTTGTATAGTGTGTGCATTGCCATCAAGTACATTTCAAGGCAATGTATTGAATGCTGACACTCTCATAGAGAAACTGATTATTATTAATCTATCTTTAAATTACCTCTTCATGCTGGGAATGGCCAATTTGTTTCTTATTAATAGATAATGAATAGAAATCTGCAAAAACAAGAAATAAAACAGATACATTAATACAGCTTCCGCAGCGAGCTGTCGCCAATCCAGGAAGTTTTTTGAAAAGATTAAGAGAATATTGCACATGTCAGTTATCCTGGGAATACTTCCAGCAGGGTGGACCATGCAGAATATTGTAATGAAAAAGTGGTCTGGCCACACCTGAAGGATTCTATGATAGGCAGTCTTTCTTTGGAGGGCAGAATAAAATACAAGTTTCGACTCCCCTGAGCCTTTCACAAGACATTGTAAAAACTGCCTATCAAAAAAAACCTCCAGGTGTGCCCAGACTACTTTTTCATTCCAATCCAGGAAATGACTCAACCAATCATGATGCTCACTTAACGTTCTATAGATTAAGCCAGGGATAGGCAACCCTCGGCACTCCAGATGTTGTAGACCACATCCCCATAATGCTTTTATACCCATAATGCTGGCAAAGCATCATGGGAGGTGTAGTCCATAATATCTAGAGTGCCGAAGGTTGCCTATGCCTGGATTAAGCATTTCTTTATGGATAGAGGAAGGTTATCTGGAAGTTGCACTGAACATTACTGTCACCTAACCTATACATTGCATCTAGATTTTGAAGAGTGTCTGTTCTGGATATTACACAATTGAAAGAAATATTACATAGCTACATGGGCTGAAAAAAAAGACTTGTGTCCGTTGAGTTCAGCCTCTTACTTATGTTTCTGATGATGATTCAAGAGAATACAAAAAAAAAAAAAAGACGGTTTGAAAATTACTAATAAATTGGATTAAACTTTTTCCATGTAATACTCCCTTTATCTCATCTCAAATATTGGGAAATGACAGATGAAAAGATGATGGACTGGGCCCTCGCTGGCAAATTAGTAACCTCAAATGTATTTATTTTTATGCTTCTCAGTTTTTCTTCATGTATAAATAGATATTACTGTAAATCACATTGTATTAACTGAAACAGCACAAAATAAAACAAGTAAAAGACAAGCAAAAAGCAAAAAATATAATTTCAAAACATTTAGTCAAAACAATGCCAATAGCCGTACAGGAATATATTCCAATGTTGTGTTTACGCTCTGATTTTGTCTCTAGGTCAGGTGTTAGCTCATAGGGTTGCCAGGAGTAAACAAATTCATGCATGTTTTCCCTCCCAGTAAGTTCATATACCAAAATATATATGTTTGGTATGAAAAACCGGTACTGAAACACAGAAAAACCCAAAACACACCATGCATGCGCATCATTGAACATTTTAAACTTACCTTGTCATTAAGTTGACTAGTGCTCCTATAGTTGAGTCCTAAAATTAAAATATAAAAGACAGCTGGTAAATAAAAAGGATTAAAAATGTTGTGTTCTGGGATATATTCATAGAACATTTCTCACACAATATAATAATTTGAAAGCTTGTTAAAGAAATGTTGCCATTCTGTTTGATATGTGGACATTGAGGTCACCAAGCCGCCTCATGAGACTTATCGTAAGTGAGTAGGTTTTTCAAAGCTTGGCAGGTACGGAGTGGATGTGGACCTACAGAGCACCGTGTACTGCAACTAATGGAGAGTCTTCACAGCCCCTAAGCCATGCAAAGTAAATCCGATTATTGGCGTTCTCATAGCACAGGTAATGCCTATATATGGGGTTTCGGGTAATGCTGGATGTTTTTTGTTTTTTTTAATTCTTTATTTGTGTTGTGCACATAATAACAGACAAGGTTGGTATGCTACAATAGCTATACCAAACATTATAAGCATTCAAGGAAAAATGGTTATATGGCATGCATATGAACGGCACATTTTAATTTTTAAATACTGTCGTTTAGGTGGGATATTGTGTATATCAGGCTATGTGTAGTAATGAGTTCAAAATTGTTCGTCTATCTCCAGGCACTAATGAGTGTCTCTGATTTGCTTTTACCAGGGTCTTGCTAGGTTGCCTAATATATGTCACGGCTGATGTTTGCTCCAGAGTGGGTTAGTAGTCAACTGATGTATGCCTCCATCGCTAGTCAGATTAGTATTTGGCTGTCGAGCGTTGTGTGAGCTGTTTATGTGTGAGCTCTCATGTTTGTGTGCTAAGCGGGTCTGGAACTTATAAACATGGAACGAAATTTTGTTAAAAAGATATATTAACATGTTAACTCTGCTGCCCTAGGTAGTGTCTGAGGGCTTATGAAAAAGGTAACTGTCCATCCTGGATGTTTTTTTCATGAATAGCGTGAGGACATTCAGCGTCAGTTAGGTGACCAAAAGTCGCCTATCAACCTGAAAGTCGAAGACGGCCACTAGAGGTGGAGTTAACCCAGGCACATAATTATTGCAGTTTATTAAAAACTGCAATAATTACTATTGCAGGGTTAATGGACCTGGGACACTGCACCCAGACCACTTCAATGAGTTGAAGTGGTCTGGGTGCCTATATTGGTCATTTACATTTTGCAATTAGTATCTCTATTCTCAGAAAAGCATTTACTAAGTAAACCCCTGGGACAAGCAAACCAAACTGGCAAGTTTACTTTATTAAACTGTAAATAATGTAAATTCAGCAGTAACTAATTTTTGTATCATTTTTTTTTTTAAATGAGCAAAAGATTTTAACCCTTTCATTGCCAAAGGGAATGAATCCTCTACTTGTGAAAGTTGCTTGGAATAATGGATTAAACAAGCAAACTGTTTTTTTTATTTTTTTATTATAAACTTCACTAAACTTAGAAGGAACCTTGCTTGCTCCTCCTACCCTTCCTTGAGTCACAGACATGGGCAGAGACTGTGTGTGCAGCCCTGGTGGAGGGCTATAATGGGCTGGATAGGAAACAATTTGGATCCAGTAAAATCTCGTCAGCTGTGAGAGATTGGAGAGAGAGGGGCTGCAGAACTGTGAGTAGACATCTCTGTCTTTACCTCTCCTAAAACAAATAGGTTTATTTTAACACGATTACAGCTACAGTCTCACGTTTTATTACTCCAAGCTAAAGGAGATATGTGAAAGAAAAGCAGCAATGTCTTAAAAATGGAAGTTACCATGTTTTCTGCCTCTCAACATGCTGCTGGCTTTTTAACGTGAAAAAATACTATTTTGGGCTTTGGGACTGCTTTGTTACAATGTAGACTTGCAAGTTCATGCTAGACTGGGTCTGTGGAATCAATACAATGCTTCCCATTCATAAAATCAAAGAATGTAGCAAACCGGGTTTATTGTGTTTCTTTCAATTCTTAAATAACTTTTTTCATATATATATAAAATTAGTTATTTTGTTAATCACTGCTTTTTAATATTTACAAATTTATTTTGTATAGTTAGAGTAAAGCCCTATTTTATTTTATTATTGAATGTTTGGCAATGCAAATTCAACATCCTCCCAAAAGGAGATTCAGTGTGTGCTGGTTGACACAAGAATTATAAAGATCTCTAACTTAGCTGTGACAACTTGGCTATTTTTGCATTCATGAATTTTAATCTACAGTTTTCAGTTTATTGAATAAACCCCACAAAGTGGGGTGTGCTTCTCTCTCTAAGCAGGTTTATCAACTTGGCTATTTATTTAGTTTTTAAATCACTGTTTAGTGAACAAGATCCAGTGTGTTTCTCCTCCACAGCCCCTCTCCCAGCATATCAATTATGAAAGTGAACCAAATTAATGGGAAGTACATCCCCAGCAGCGGTGGCTATTACTTTGGCCCTCTCTTCCATTCCTAACACACTTTAAAGCCCCTCTCACAGCATATCAGGGACAAGGGATGACTGGCCCATCTCCCTATACCCTTCACCCTCCACCAACCAATGTTGTCCACGTTGAAAAACCCCTCTAATGCTCTAGTGTTAACATAGGGTGCACAGCCTATTGCATTAGGGTGTTCACCCTAAAGCACAAACACATGGCGTGTGTGTATATATATATATATATATATATATATATATATATATATATATATATATATATATATATATATATATATATATATTACACATACAAAATCCAAATAGTTTATGGTGGGGAAAAATTGTGATTGAAAACACCTTCCACCTGAAGTCTGTGGATAGTTAATACAATGTTAAACAAAAATCTGCACACCAGTCAAGCCATAAGACTTGCTTTTCCCACAGAAATCCCAAATCTATATATACACACACACACTGGTGTGTGCTATGTGTGAGGGTGCTGTTAGTGTACTGCGGGGCTAGAGTTCACTCTCGCGAGATTTGAGCGTTGCCACGGTAACACTCAGATCTCGCG